ACACTTTGATTTAACCTATTATTTATTTTTTAAAAAGTACTTAAAAGGTTTTGCCTATAAAGTGTTATATCAGTTAAGTAACTATTGTATAAGAACCCCATAATTTTTCATGTTTTAACTGGTCTCATAAGTTATTAAGATTTTGTATTAACTTTATTTTGAGAAAAAAAATGACATACTCTTATTTTATTGTACAGTATATGAACAATAACAGTAAATTTTGGGAAGCAATCTGTGTTTTCAATCTTTGCAGTTAGGAAATCTGTATGAGTCTTTAGATTCAACTGTTGCTGAAAATATTTTTTTTAGTAGTTATGAAGTATGTGTTAAAGAGAATTGGTGATTTTTCCTGAAGTGTGCATATGGGAGACATTTTATGGTACTTGTAGAAAGTTGAATAGATTGTTTTATTTTTTACATCCAATAATAAGAACCATGCTTCTGAAGTGTCTTTTTATATATTGAAAAAAAGAATTTCAAAAATTAGAAAATTTACAATGGCACAGAAATTTCATTGTTTCTGTATTTTAATTTGTCAAGAAATGGTGGATTACATTCTTTTAAATTACTTATAATCAGTGCATATTCATTTAAGGAATTTGCTACTATTCAATTAAGGTCTAGTTGTTTCTATTTCCTTTAATTTATCCTGGAGTTTGTCCAAGCTGAATTTTAATGAGTTGTTTATCCCCCTAGTTACACTAGGATTTATTTTTCCCTAGAGAGCAATGTTGGATTGATAGTTTTTAAACCTGTTCTGTAAAATGAACATATTCAGACCAAGATTTCTTGAATATGAGCACTAGACATTTGCCAAATAAATGACCAACATAATTATCAAAATGCAGCTTGGTAATGTTTTAAGACAAATCTAGAACTTGTTAGATATTTTTCTACGATTTTATATTGAGCTGCTTTGTTTTATGTACATGTGTACTGTATAAATCACAAGGAACGGTCACACTTTTATTGTGCATTTTCACTGACATTATGAGTCCCCCAACTAGCTTTAAGTTGTAAAATCTATTGATCTTTAAAAAAATATTTTGAAGCAAAGGTAGTATAACCCGAAGATTTGATGAGATGGGTAATAAAAATATGGGCATTTCTTGCTTTTCCTAGCTTGCTTACTGCTGAAATACAAATTAAAATTGACAAGAAATAAGAAAAACAGTCTCTATTGGTATTGTTACATCAAAAATAGTAAATACCGACTCATTGTCAAACTTTGGGCAGAGTGCAGGGAATCTTATGAAAGAAAGACCTGGGGGTGACAGGAGCTCCAGAAGGAGAGCAACAGAACCAAGACTGGGCCCAGGTGTCTTTTCTGAGACTGATATTCCAACACAGGACCATGCATGGAGATAACCTAGAACCCCTGCTCAGATGTAGCCCATGGCAACTCAGTGTCCAATTGGGTTCTTTAGTAATGGGAACAGGGACTGTCTCTGACATGAACTCTGGCTGGCTCTTTGATCACCTCCCTGAGTGGGGAAAAGCCTTACCAAGCCAGAGAGGAAGACAGTGCAGCCAGTCCTGATGAGTCCTGATGGCTATGGTCAGATGGAGAGGGTGGAGGACCTCCCCTATCAGTGGACTTAGAGAGGGGCATAGGAGGATATGATGGAGGGAAGGTTGGATTGGGAGAGAATGAGGGAGTGTGTTACAACTGGGATACAAAGTGAATAAATTGTAATCAATATAAAAATACAAATAAAAATAAAAAAAAACAAAAAACAATAGTGTATACCATTGTGTCAGCTCCTATGTGTTGCCAAATCATGTTTTTTTAAATTTAGCTTAAGTATCAAGTTAAAGGAGGTATGATAAACTAAATTTTTATCATTGGTATAACTGAAAAAGAAAAGTTTCAAAATGTCACGAGTATATGGTATAATTACCTTTTTTGTTATTGGATAATGACACACAAAGTATATTTTCTTTGATAATAAAATTGAAGAAGAGAATCACTCTTCAATCTTGGGAAATCTTAAAATGTAGAATAATTAATTATTTTTGAATTTGAATATGGTTATGCTTTATTCAAACCAGTGCAATCTATTGGGAACCATTAGTTTTTTTTTTAGGTCAGAAAATAGTTTCAATTGAAAGACAGTATTTTGAAAAGGAGATTTAAAAAAAATTAATTTTTAAAAAATTTTCAATATTTTAATTTTAATTTCATGTATTTACTTTTTATCTCAGCTGTAGCCTCCTCTGTAAGTCCCCCCCAATCACACCCTCCTTCCCTCATCTCCTCTTATGACCCATTCCAAGTCCACTGATAGAGGAATTCTTTCTCTCCTTCCATCTGACCATAGCCTACCAGGTCTCATCAGGCCTGGATCCACTGTCTTCTGTGGCCTGGTAAGGCTGCTCCTCCTTTAGGAGGAGGTGATTAAAATGCCAGCCACTGAGTTCAAGTCAGAGACAGTCCCTGTTCCCAGTATGAGGGAACCCACTTGGATACATCTATACAGCGGTTCTAGGTTATCTCCATAAATGGTCCTTGTTTAGAGTATCGGTCTCAGAAAAGGCTCCTTTGTCCAGATTTCTTGGTTCCATTGGTCTCCTTGTGTCCCGCCTGTCCCCTCCAGGTCTTTTTGTCTCCCCCTTCTTTCATAAGATTCCCTGCATTCTGCCCTAAATTTGGCTATGAGTCTTAGCATCTGCTTCAATACCTTGCTGGGTAGAGCCTTTCAGAGGCTCTTTATGGTACGCTCCTGTCTTGTTCCCTGATTTCTTCCTCTTCCAATGTCTATCCCATTTGGCTTTCTGAATGAGGATGGAGCATCTTACCCAGGGTATTTCTTTTTTAGCTTATGTGTATAGATTGTAGTATGATTATCCTATATTATATGTCTAATATCCACCTATAATTATAAGTGAGTATATACAGTGTGTTTCTTTCTGCCCTTGGGATACCTCAGTCAGGATGGTATTTTCTGGTTCACACTATTTGCTTGCAAATTTCATGATTTCCTTGTTTATAATTGCTGAGTAGTATTCCATTGTTTAAATGTGCCACACTTTCTGTATCCATTCTTCAGTTGAGGGACATCTGGGTTGTTTCCAGATTCTGGCTATTACAAATAAAGGTGCTAGGAACAAGCGTGAGGAAATGTCTGTGTTGCATACTTGAGCATATTTTGGATATATGCCTAGGAGTGCTATAGCTGCAAGCACAATTGTCTGAGAAAGCTCCAGATTGATTTCCAAAGTGGTTGTACAAGTTTACATTCCCTCCAGCAGTGGAGGAGGGAGGGAACCATTTTATAGTGCATCTGATTGTTTGGAAATTAAAGTACTATATAATGTAGCCAAATTTATTCTGAGATAAGAAAGTTCCACTTGTATCAAGTATCCTCTTTGTAATTTCAGCTTACAGTAGTGAGATTTCTTTAGGAGCATGACTTTTGCTGTACTTCAGTTACCAATGCTGTGTCAATATGAACTTACAGTGTCTAGGTTTATGACACATTTCCATTCTATAGATGTTCGTGTTGTTTGTGTCTTTTATTAGTGTTAGTAGTAATGGAATTTTTAATTTTCCAGGAATCCAAATGGAAACTTGAGAAAGTAGTAGAGAGAAGTAGGCATATAATTTTGAAACACTTAGAGAAGGGGGAAAAAGATTTATAAAATGGTTCATATTAGAATTAAATACTGTTTTTGTGAATTCCTTTTGATTTGATCTCCCATTCACCTGAGTACCACAGTTTTTGTTATTTGGTGTAAAGAATCTAGTACGTGGTATATGTGCATTTATTTTTTACTTTATTCCCTTTAGTGCCTTGAATTTTAAGGCAAAGCATCATTAGGATTGTAGAGTGAAGGGTAAATTTAAGTAGAAATCTTTGGTGCTAATGAATGTTGGAAAGTTGTGGGAACATGTCGTGGTTATCGTACTGTATTGTATATTTCATTATCTGGCATACCAATTAAGAGGTAGGCCAATCCAGTGTTTATCTTCTCATTGCTGTCTTTTTTTTAATTTCAGCTTATAAACATCTTTTGATTGTTTTTTCAAATTTATTTTGTATTATATTTGTTCACTTTACATCCTGATCATAGCCCCCTCCCTCCTCTCCTCCTGGTCCCATCCCCCCACTCTTCCTCCTCTTTCTCTTCTTCTATTACCTCAAAAAGGGGAGCATCCCCAAACCACTGTAGCACATCAAGTCATATCAAGACTGAGCAAATACTTTTCCACTGAGGTCAGGTAAGGCAGCCTTGCCATGGGGTTTGATCAAAAAGTAGGCAACAAAGTCCATTTCAGAGACAGCCCTCACTCTTCTTATAGGGGACCAACAGGAAGACTAAGCTGCCTATTGGCTACATAAGTGTAGGTGCGCTAGGTCCAGTCCTTGGTTGATTTTGTCTTTCTTAGGGGAGCAATAGCCATTTGAAGCCATGTTCCTGAGATGCTACAGGGGATTTCTTTCCTTCCTTTTGAAGCAAAATAAGTTTACAGTGTATAATTCAGTGCTTTTTATTACTTTTATAATGTGGCAAGTATAAATTCTTCTAAAATTTTAGAACCCTTTTAGAATTAAAAAAAAATTCAAGAGTGTCGGGAATGGTTGAGTTAGTAAGGTGCTGTCTGTGCATGATAATCTGAGTCCAGAATGTGCTGCTGCCTCCTGTAATCCCAGCCTCACTGATGGGGCTAAGACAGCAGGATCCTTGGGACTTGCTAACCAGCCAGTGTAGCTGAATTGGTGAGTTTCAGGATCAGTAAGAGGCTCTGTCTCAGAAAATAAGGTGCAGTGTGGTGCAGTGTGATTGAAGAAGACACCTACCATTGGCTCTGGCTTTCCTATCTACATACATGTATACACATACATGAGCATACATGAGTATGTACATACATTCATACCCCCCCACAAATAATTTGAATTTATATCTCCCCCCTTGCAGCATAATTTATCTAGTATGTTGTGTAAAAACCCTATTCACTTAGTTATTTTTATTATTTTTCTTTTTATTTTCATGATTAGGACCAAAAGATCTCAGACCGTTGTAACTGAAGGTATTTTTGAACTCCCAAATCTCACAATTCAAGCTACAAGAGCACAGACACTTCTGCTGCAAGCAATATATCAGAGCTGGTCTCATATTGGAAGTATCAGCTCTTCAACGGTGAATGAAGCTTTGATGAACGAAGTCTTCCAAATGACAGGTAAGAGTACACTTTACCTCATAAGTAAAATGTGTCATAGAAGTAACTAAGATTCAAATCCCTGTGTCTAGCATTCTCAATCTAAAGTGTATTTCTGTTAAAGTTGATATTTATATGACTGATATTTATTTATAGTATACTTTCTCAAACCACTTATTTCTTGGGCATCTAGACTGATTTCTCAAACTGGCAATTATGAATAAGGTTCCACAGTGCACATGAATGTGCTGGTATTTGTGTATTTTTGGTAGCTCATATGGTTCTAGAGATTTATTTCATTTGGAATTTTTAGTTAATTAGGATATTAGTTTTCCTCGCTTATATAGACCTACAAGATATGATAAACATAATGAAATCTATACACCTAAATAAGATAATCAAGAAAGCGGACACGGGGTAAATGATAAATCCTCATTTAGAAAGATAGATGGGATGTGCATTGAACGTATGATAGGAGTCTACCACAGAAGGCATCTGAAAGACTCTACCTAGCAGTGTTTCAAAGCAGATACTAAGACTCACAACCAAACCTTCGGCAGAATACAGAGACTCATATGAAAGAAGGGGAGTTAGTATGATGTGGAAAGGATAGGAACTCTACAAGGACAAAATATATCTGGGCACAGGGTCTTTTCTGAGACTGACACTCAACCAAAGACCATGAATGGATATAACCTAGAACCTCTGCTCAGATGTGGCCCGTGGTAGTTCAGTAACCAATTGGTTTCCCATAGTGAGGGGAACAAGGACTATTTCTAACAGGAACTCAATGACTGGCTCTTTGACCTCCCCATGCCCCGATGGAGAAGCAGTCCTGTTAGGCCACAGAGGAGGACTTTGCAGCCAGTCCTGAAGATATCTGATAAAACAGGGTCAGTTGAAAGGGGAGGAGGTCCTCCCCTATCAGTGGACTTGGAAAGGGGCAGGCAGGAGATGAGGGAGGGAGGGTGGGATTGGGGAGGGAAAGAGGGAGCGGGACACAGCTGGGATACAGAGTTAACAAAATGTAACTAATAAGAAAAAAAAAAGATATTAGTTTTCAGAGGATCCAAGATGGCGGAGGCGAATGTGCATAGTTTTTGAGAGACAGAGGAGCAGAACTGCTGGAGTTGGTGAGTGCGGGGGCATATAAAGCCAGGGAAACGATGGTGAGGCTTTCTGAACAAGAGGGAACATCACAGGAGTTGATACCTTTAGTCTCAGGTCACCAGCGGACTTCTTCAGGGAGGGGAGAGAAACGATCCTTTGATCTCCCTGCACTCCTCTTTTTTTGGGCCTTCCTCCTCCTCAGTACAGCCTACAGCCAGCTCACTGAGATTCTCTGCTCAGAACTCACTGCATGGGGACTGTGTGCTGACCTCACAGGGTTTCTCAGCCACTGACTGTAGGTCCTGCCCAAACCCTGTATGGCAGATAGTGGGCTATATACCACCAAAGACCAGGAGACCCCGCCAAACAAACTAGGCACACCAGGCGACAGGCCACCCAGGTCTGGATAACACAGTGGTGGGCCCCCAGGACCTCCCAGAAGGCATCTGGTCCAGCATCCCAGTCTGCAGCCGCAGCTAGACTACCTAACCTGGCGGCTGCAGCAACACTGAGCTGGCGTAGCTCCTCAGTCCTCCTGCATATGACTAAGTGTGACCAGACCAGGGAGTGGAGAGCCTGGATGTCCCGATCCTTGCCAATGTGACCTGATTGAGAGTGAGTATGATCCTAAGTGCCTGCAGAGCCCCAGATCCAGGGTCCTTCTAAACTAGCAGCCGGACATCAGAGCCCTCTCACCCAAATACCCATTGTGGTAAATGTGGGACTGTTGAGACATCGGGGCCCTACTCTGCAGGTCCAACACTGGAGTTCAGATAGATAAACAGGAGCTCAGACAGAGCCGAATCCCAGTAGCCTGTTAGCCATTGAGGTATTCAGGAAATTTGCATAAGGGAATTGCGCTGAGATTAGCACCAGTGCCTGCTACAGCACATGCACAAGTGACCCCTTAGATGCCTGCAAGGCAGAGCCCCTCCCGCACACCCAAGAGTTCAACATTCTCTACCACTCTGTCCCTCAAAGGCACACTTCCACGCACACGCTTGCCCCCATTTGTCCTTATGCGCCCACATTTGTCCTTCTGCACCCTCACACTTTCCTTCCACAGGTACAGCTGAAACACGAATGCACATGCTGAAACCACAAAACATCTCTCAACTTCCTGAAGATTTCTCCTGATACCAGAGAAAGACCGTACCAGTCTAAACTCCAGAATCCAGGAACAAACAGGGAAGGTTACGGATAAGCAAATGGCCAGGGGTAGGCAAAAGAACACTTCCAACATAAATCAGGACAACATGGCTTCACCAGCAACCCCCAAAATTGATGGATACTCCAATTCTTGTGAAACATGGGAAAATGACTTTAAAGCTATGCTTATCCAATTATTTGAGGCACTCTCAAAGATTTGGTCAAACAACTGAAGCCAAAGAAAGAGGAAATGAACAAAATTCTCAAAGAAACACAGGCAAATATAGCCAAACAAATAGAGGCACAAGTGGCATACAGAGAGGAAATGAACGAAAAAATAGAGACCATCATAGAGAGACAGGAATCCACATTCAAACAGATGAAGGAAATGGTGCAAGGCATGAAAACAGAATTAGAATCAATAAAGAAAATACAAACTGAGAAAACTCTGGAGCTGGAGAACTTAGAGAAAAGTTCAGGAACCAAAATGATAAGCATCACCAACAGAATACAAGAGTTGGAAGAGAGAATCTCTGGTGCTGAAGATACACTTGCAGAAATTGATACTTCTCTTAAGGAAAAAATAAAATCAGAAAATACCCAAACACAAAATATTCAGGAAATCAAGGATGCCATGAAAAGATGAAATCTAAGAATAATAGGAGTTGATGAAAAAGAAGATTCCAGATTCCAAGGTCCAGAAAATATTTTTTAAAAAATCATAGAAGAAAATTTTCTCAACCTAATGAAAGATATGTCCATAAACATACAAGAGGCCTACAGAACACCAAATAGACTAGACCAGAAAAGAAACACATCACGTCACATCATAGTCAAAACCTTAAATCTACAGAACAAAGAAAAGATTTTAAAAGCAGCAAGGGAAAAAAGCCAAGTAACATATAAAGGTAGACCTATCAGAATCACACGGGACTTCTCATCAGAAACTATGAAAGCCAGAAGGGCCAGGGCAAGTGTCATACAGACTCTAAGAGACCACAGATGCCACCCCAGACTACTATACCCTGCAAAGCTTTCAATCCACACAGATGAAGAAAAGAAGATATTCCATGATAAAACTAAATTTAGGCAATATCTACACAACAACAAAACCAGCCCTATAGAAGACACTAGAAGGAAAACTCCAATCCAACGAAAACAACTATACCCAAGAAAACATAACCTACAGATAACCCCCCCCCCAAATTAAAAGAAATCAAGCAATGAATCATAGTAAGACCACCAACTCCACAATAAAAGGAACTATCAGGCATTGTTCACTATTATCTATCAATATCAATGGACTCAGCTCTCCAATAAAAAGACACAGACTAACAGAATGGTTGCAGAAATAGGATCCAACATTCTGCTGTATCCAAAAAACACACCTCTGCAACAAAGATAAACACTACCTCAGAGAAAAGGGATGGAAAAAATGTTTTTCAAGCAAAGGGATCCAGAAAACAAGCTGGGGTAGCTATCCTAATATCTAATAAAATAGACTTCCAACCAAAATTTATCAAAAAAGATGTGGAGGGGCACTACATTCTCATAAAAGGAAAAATCTACAATGTTCACAATTCTGAACATCTATGCCCCAATTACAAGAGCACCTACATTTATAAAGGAAACATTATTAAAGCTAAAGGAAACGTTATTAAAGCTTAAATCACATATTGATTCTAACACCTTTATAGTGGGAGACTTTACCACCCCACTTTCACCAAGGGACAGATCATCTAGGCAGAAGCCAAATAGGGAAATAAAGGCACTTACAGAGGCCCTAAGTCAAACTGACCTAATAGATGTCTACAGAACTTTTCATCCAAACTCAAAAGAGTACACCTTCTTTACAGTACCTTCTCCAAAATAGACCACATAGTTGGTCACAAATGAAGACTCCACAGATACAAGAAGATTGAAATGATTCCCTGTATTTTATCTGACCACCATGGAGTAAAGCTGGACCTCAACAACAATAGTAATAACATAATGCCTACACACACATGGAAACTGAAAAACTTGCTACTCAATGACAGCTGGGTTAAGGAAGAAATAAAGAAAGAAATTAAAGACTTCCTAGAAGTCAATGAAAATGAAGGTACAACATACTCAAATTTATGGGACACAATGAAAGCAGTGCTCAGGGGAAAATTCATAGCACTAAGTGCCTTCAAGAAGAAATTTGTAACATGTCATACAAGCAATTTAATGGCCCAAGTCAAAGCCCTAGAAAAAAAAAAGAAGCAGATACACCCAAGAGGAGCAGACGGCTGGAAATAATCAAACTCAGGGCTGAAATCAATCAATTAGAAACAAATAAAACTATTCAAAGAATCAATGAAACCAAGACCTGGTTCTTTGAGAAAATCAACAAGATAGACAAACCTTTAGCCAAACTAACTAAACTGCAGAGAGAAACTATCCAAATCTACAAAATCAGATGAAAAGGGGGACATAACTATAGACCCTGAGGAAATCCAAATAATCTTTAGGTCTTACTACAAAAGCCTATATGCCACAAAATTTGAAATCTAAAAGAAATGGAAAATTTTCTTGATCGATTCCATCTACCAAAATTAAGTCAAGATCAGGTAGAAAGTTTGAATAGTCCTATATCCCCTTAGGAAATAGAAGCAGTCATCAACAGTGTTCCTTCCAAAAAAAGCCCTGGGCCAGATGGATTCAGTGAAGAATTCTACTAAACCTTCAAAAAAGTGCTAACTCCAATTCTCTTCAAACTGTTCCACAAAATAGAAACT